TTAAATAAGCTCTCAGAACCAATATCTTTTAAAATAAAAATACTAGTCAGGTATAAGCTTTTGTTTCTTAATGCCAGACTTCTGTGTATCAGACTACTGTGCACATCATTAAAAATTCACAGAAAATTGGGGTGCCAGACAGAGAAGGAAGGACAGTCACAACATGAAGGACCACAGTCCAGTGCTCTGGTGACTGTGGTACAAATGTGGGCAGGTCAAAGAAAGCAAGGTCCCATCTGAAGCAGGATGGCTTACTGGCTAAAGGTAGTGAGTGGTGTAGATTCAGATTCCTGTCTCATCACTGACAGACTTTGTGTCTTTGGCGAGTTACACAGTGAGTGTGAAGTAAATGTTGGTTCACATTATTTTATTCCTGAGTATCGATTTTGTTCCAGGATATGGGGCAGAGTTACCCTTTTCCAGAAGATTATAGCAATCCAAAAGGAAGGACTTCAGTAAGCCAGGGAACTTTCTACTTTTAAACTAGCAAATATGAAATTGCTCTATTCTGGGAACCTACTTAGGAAAGTTTAAGCTTAAATTACGTTTAAAGTTTCCTGTCATGGTTCTTCCCTTATGTAAAATAGTTTGCATGCATTGGTCAGTTCAAAACACGCTCATTAATAGGGCGTAGTGGTTCAGCATGGGGCCTCCACAACCATGTTTTCTGTGTTCAAATTCCATCTGGTTCATTACTAGTTAGGTGATCTTGCCAAGTTATTTTAAGATCTCTGGGCCTCAGTTCCCTCATCTGTAAAGTGGAGATGACCCTAGCATGTACTTCAGAGGATGGGGGTAAGGATTTGTAAAGCACTTACAACGTGCCTGCCTACAGAGCAGGTTACTCATTGTTACAATTGTGGTTAATTTCCACCTAAGAGACACAATGATAAATGAGGTAAGGTGTCTGATCCTAGAAGAGTTTCTGGGCTAGTGAAGAAGACAGATTCAAAAGCAAATTTTCAATAAAATGTACTAAGTGCCTTAATGGCTTAACCTGATGCTGGATATATGGGGGTGGGGGCGGGGGGAAGGAGAGGTAGCTAATTTAACCTGGGAAGACTTCCAGGAGGAGAGAATACGTAAACTAAGTCTTCAAAGATGGGTAGATGGCAAGGTTCTAGTGGAATCTTTGGAATCTTTCAGCCAAAAACCATTTCACCCAAAATGTGAGCAAATAAAATTGTTTCTAAATGTCCTGATTTTAAAATAATAACAATAACAATAATAATAATAATAATAATAATAAACATCCAGCAGATTAAGAGAATTTGATCATATCAGTTGAAAAAGAAAAAAATCAAAGAGTAAATGGAGCCCAGGAAAAGGGATTTTTATTAATAGTCCCCAAAGAAAATAGCATTACCCAATATATAGCATGAAACCAATTGTCCCAGCAAAGAAGTAAACTTTTTCCTCAGAAGAGAGAGGGTTTGGATCGAAACTCTTTTCCTTCTGATCCGTTTTTAATATCCCCATTTACATAATATCACAAAAAAGAGATCCTTATTTGTGTCATATTATCACACATGCACACACACACACACACACACACGCACAATAGAGATGCATTATGGAGCATCTGCCTTATTGCTTATACAAACTGGTTTCATAAGAAAAGCTGTAATGAAGTGTCTCTTCTCAGGACTTCTTAGCCTTTGTAGATGATGATGATGATGGTGGTGGTGGTGGTGATACTAATAAATATTATTAGCTAATTATTTTTAGCTAACTAATTGTTATTCATGGAGAAAATATAGAGACTCTGAAAGCAAAACTGTAGGGCTAAAGTTGTTGACAAATCAATGACAGAACTGGAAGTTAAACTTCTGTGATCCTGTCTCAAGCCCTTAGAAGGACTTTCAACGGTGCAGCTGCTAACTTCATCCCCCTGAGTTACCCCACAAACCCCAAGCTTTTTCATGGATTATGAATTTTTTTACTGATCAGAAAAGCTATTAGGATGTGATTCTTTGATATTGGCACATTATTTTCCAAATTCCAAAGCAATTTTTCACTTACCTTTTATTTCCCTAACTTCAGAGATTCCCAGCCTCTGTGAGGATGAGAATTCCTTTTTAATGTAACAAAGTTTATAGTGCAGCTTCACTTGATTGCACTTATCCTTTTTGTATCTGTTGGTGGGAAAAACTTAACAGAAACTTAACATGGCAACCAGTTATCATGAATTCAGTAATTTTAAGTGTATATCTTATTGTTCATAATATACATTTGAAAAATAGTAGCACATGTATGTGGAGAACAATAATTTTAGCTATAGATGATGCTTGGGGAGAATATGGATTCAAGACAGCCCCCTAAAATAACTGAAGCCCTTGCTGATCAGGGGCTCTGCACGTCATTATCAGATGAAATTTCAAGAGCCATAGAAGGGTTGCTCTAAATACATAAATGTAGAGAACCAAGGGATGATGTATTTCAAAAGGTGCCTTAAAACCCAAAGATTTTCGATGAATTCTTGCTCTACTGTAGACAAGAAATGAACCCTGTTTAAATCCTTTGGAAAGAAGTGGAGGCAGTGACTTTTGCAAAGAATGAGAGCAGAGCCATAGTTAACCTCCATGTTCTAGTGAGTATATCTTTCTGATTTGGTCATCAAGTTGAGGGGGTGGGAGAGAGAGAGAGAAGAAATGGACAGAACAGGGCAAAACCTAGGATCATTATGAGACATCATTTGGAGTAAAATGAAGAACACAGTTAAAACAAACAAACAAACATGTTCTAGGCCTGATCATTCCAGATGAGTATGTATACTGGAAAATGAAAAGTCAGATTGGTTCATCTTCGGCCACCATTATAACCATCACCGTCTGCTTGGCTGTATCACGCACTCCCATTCTCTCTTTTGCGGGGAGCCATTAAGATTCGGGAAAACAAATTCAAACAAAAGCTTTTTTTCTCAAGGTACCAAAGGATAATTCTCAGAATTGTCCCAACAAGAAGAAACTGTGGAGAATGCTTGTTTTTCCCCCTCCAGTCATCTCACTTTGAAAGTCTAGCAAAACTGCATGTCGTAAATGAATGTCATCTTTATTTTCTCCTTTCAAGCCTAGGAGTTTCTGTTGATGGACTTTTTTTTTTGACAGTAATTTCAGGCAAGCCTACAATTGAACAGCCAAGCAGAAATTATGGTTCTCTATTTGTTAAATGCTTTTGAGGTCCTTACATAAAAGGCTGATAATGAAGTATTAAGAGAGACATCGGAAAGGCTGCGGTTGGTCAAATTTCTCTGCATGGCACAAAGGGGAAGGTGACCTTATGCAGAACCCTGATAGTTCCATTATAAGAAGAATCAAGATTTAACGTTAAATTTAAAAATCACTCTTCAAATGCTACCAAAACCAGACTCTTGACAAAGTATAAATGTTTAATTCAAATTGGGGCTTATGGAGAAAAAGCAATTAAAATCTAATTGCATTATAGAGGAGATTTGTACATTTTCTCCTCAAAGTCAGGCAAGGCGAGAAGGGGTTCTTAAACCCTGTTTTTAAATTAGAACTTTCTTTCACATCTCTTTTTTCTTTTTTTCTTTTTAAATCCGGACACTTGAATTTGGACAGACAAGCAACCCAGCCACCTTTCAGTGTGGCTGTGTCAGTATCGGAATGAAATGAACATGACCCCCTCCAGCAGGGAAGGAACACACAGTAAAGGTATTTTTTATAGAACAATTCTTCACACTGCCCTGGTGACTGGGGAAAGGAATCTCGTGTTTCTCTTTTGCTGATACTGAATCAGCTGAAGAATACCATGAACATCAGTAGAAATGCTCTGAAATAGTCTCTGCTCCCTTTTGTCTTTTTGTTCTCATGAGGGGGAAAAAAGAGAGACTTTTTTTTTGAACATGAAATATTTAACTTAAATGCCAATTAAAAATTGACCAATTATTTGGCAGTTCATTTTGTAATCAGAAGTGTTACAAATTATTGCCTTAACTTGCAAATAATTATATTTATTTGACATATTTCTTAGCAACTTTCCAATAAAGATGGCTATATTCATTTATGATAAGAATACATTCTTGGCACAGGAAGCTGATTTCAACAAAGAAATCCCTATCCTTGCTTCCTCAACAGTTTATGGAATGATTGGATTCATACCTTGGTTAAACAGATGGTCAAAATGCAAACTGATAGAGACTGAGCTTATGTATCTCAATTGGGGAGAGACTCCAAACACATAGCAATGTAGCAACATGCACTTCCCAGGTCTTTCTTCTATATGTTATTACGTAGTTACTTGTTAACATTTCCATGTATAGATACTTTATGTGGTTTCCAAGAGCTAAATGAAACTGACCATAAAATCGTCTATCATTTGTGCAATTGTTTATAGTTTCCAAAACACTTTTAAAAACACTGCCCCATTTTCTGAGCAATTTAGCAATATTTGTAAATTGTATAGGTTACATAAATCTGTAGAAAGTTTAGCTTTCTAAAATATTTCATTTCAAACGTGTTTGTTAACCCAATACCAACTCAACAGATCAAGTGAATTTTTATCTCTAAGACATGATGGTATGAGCAGTTACTTAGAATATTCTGAAAAAAAAAAGTTATGTCAGAAAGTGCAAAACAAGGTCCCATCGCATTTTGTCTCCAGCCTTCACCTCAAAGATCAGAATCAAACACAGTAGAACTTGCTTTGAACCACCTTCCTTTTTCCACAATGCTGACATCAGGATTTGGTTTAAAAAAAAAAAAAAAAAGGCTACTGTCCATTTTCCCCAAAACCACTTAGAATATTTGTGGTACAGCAGCTTATTAATCTATTTTTTAATCTATTCATTTATTGATCAGGGTCCTAAAGATTTACTGAAATCAGCCATAAATTTAGAAAGAGCCCCTACTCCATAGAACAGTTTTTCCTAGGAGAGATCCCAAGTATTCCTACATTTCGGGAAATGAGGAAGAACTCTCTCTCATAGACGGCATACATTTACCTGGTCCCAGTCCCAGGTGGGAGTCCAGGTTACTCACCAGGTGTGGCCGATTCGGAGGATACAGGTGAAAAGGAAGATGAACACAGGAGGCTTCACAAGCAACATAATCCTCTGGAGCAACAGAAATAGAAAATTCTAAAAAACGCGGGAGACAGAGAAGATGGGGAAATATTCTCCTTGTGGTAGTGGGATGGAATTCTCCTCAAGCCCCAACTTCCGTGGTGTGTAAGCGATCCCAAACAGAGTTGAAGGGATGTGAAATGGAGCTGCCAAACGTCCAAAGAAGAGATTATCTACTTAATTAAAGTGTTTTTTTCCCCTCTAAGTCCTTCAGCCAATCAGAACTCAAGTGCCAGAGAAAGATTGAGTCGATCAAAAGAACACTCCAGGATCCTCCCAGACAAATGCAGAAGAAGGAGACGAGGAAAAGGGGACAAAGAGAGGAACACGGAGAAAGAGGACAAAGAAAGAAGAGGGGGGGAGGAAAAGAGACATAGCAAATCCCCTCCACAGAATCAGCGCTTGGAGTTTCTCTCCTCCCTCTTGCCGAGGCCCTCCCGCCCCACCACAACCTCCCCCACCCATGCACACTCGCCCGCAGACACGGACACACGGAGAGGAGGGCCTGGTCCCCAAGGGGATTTAGAAGGGACTGTGCTTTCCCTGTTGTCCTTTGTAGGGCTTTGAGACTTAATCTGCATTCAGAGTAGCTTTCCTCAGAGAAAAATATACCATGTACTACTGGGTGAACCTCAGCCCTCTGATCTGAGAATGTGGGGATTCAACCCAACCACCTCTGTAAGTTAGAAAGAAGCTTAGGGAACTTTAGGGAACCTGGTGGTTTCTTCCTTTCAACTTTTCCATAGAACACTTCCTTGTTGAACAACCTATCCCATTCTCAACCCCACGCTAGCCATCATGGACATTTTAAAAAAACAAAACATGATTTCTGCCCCAAAGACATTTACAGTCCAGTAAGGTGGTAATATAAGAATGTAATTTCATAAGGTATTAAGTTGCTACAAACTGACTATAAATCACATAGGCTTATTTGGGGAAGGTTTGCTAAAGAAGATAGAATTTGAACTTCAAAGAGGGGTAGAGATTTCAATAGGCAGCCAAATCCCTACCCACTCAGGCTCTGGTGGTGAAGCCAGTGGGACACCGAGGCTTCTTGCTCACACATCTCTGAGTTGCTGTCCCTTCTGTTCACTAGGGAGGAAGCATCGGCTCCGTCACTGTTCAGGGGTCCTCAGAAGGCCTCCAACTTACTTCCACATGCCACATCTTCTGCTTTGACACTCACATCACCTTTCCCTAGAGCTCCCCAGAGTCAATGGTCTGTCTTTGCTCTCTTCCTTTTTATCCCTGTGGCTCTTACTTAAGAACTCTCTCTGGCCAGATCTACACTGGCAAATGTAACTGGAAAATAAAGAATTATCAGATTAATTCATTGTCAGATTATTCAGGCTGGATGATTTAAGGCTCTTGATCTGAATATTCTGACTCGGTAATTTTATGGTCCACTTGGAATCTTCCGGACCAGGCCTTTATTTGGGATTCCCAACGGTGAGATGAGCTTAGTTGGTTTTGATTCCCACTAAATTTTAGGTCCTTCACTCCCTCTTCTTTTCCCCCTCAGCTTTATTGAGGTATGATTGACAGATAAAAATTGTATAAGTTTAAGGTGTACAATGCGATGGTGTGATAAATGTATATATTGTGAAATGATGGCCACAATCAAGTTAATTCACACATCCATCACCTCACATGGTTATCGTGTGTGTGTGTGTGTGTGTGTGTGTGTGTGTGTGTTGAGAACGATTAAGATCTACTGTCTTAGTAAATTTCAAGCACACAATACAGCATTATTATTAACATCACCATATAGTACATTAGATCCCCAGAGCTTATTCATCTTATGACTGAAAGTTCATACTCTCTGTAGGTCTTTCTGTCTTTTGTCATTCAGAGAAGGTAGCAGCCTATTTAAGACCTAGAGTCAAGTCCTAGGAAGGTAAAGAGTAATGACTACTGAATTTCAATCTTGACTTCTTGGCTGACGACAATAGTGACGGGGTTCTCTCCATTTACTTGACTAGGGAATTAATTCCCAGGGGATGGAAAAACTTGTAGGAGGTAGAACAGACTTGGGCGACTTTTATGTGAATAAAGAGTTTCTTGATGCACTCCCCCACTACCTCAGAATTTTTTCCCACAAAGGGAAAATTTAATATCCTTATTTTTGTATGAAATTAATGCATTCTCACTGTAAAAACTTAAACATGACAAAAAAGTTTAAAGAGCGCAAATCCTGATGACCCACCTCCTACTCTGCACTTCAGTGTAACCACTGTTAGGTTTTAGATGGTCTTTTAGGCTTTAAAATACACATAATTGAATACAAATATGTATGTAAAAATTTTCACCCAAATTATATAGATTATTTTTTTGCAGGTTGCTTTTCTCATTTAATAATATATTATGCTGCTTTCTATATTAGGGCCTAAATACCTCTCTCTCTCTCTCTCTCTCTCTTTTTTAAGGAGCGGGATTATATAAATTTTCATATATATAAATTGTCAGCATTCTTATTTTGCTGAATATTTGGGGGTTGTTTTCAGCTTAGCAAAAGAATTGCCAACTTCTAAATTTAATCTAATTTGGACTTAAGTGTTGCTGTGTTTGTTTTTTTTCATGGTTATATTTTATTTACTTTTTCTTTAAGTGTTGCCACTTTTATCACCTTGATACTAGAGAATAGAGTTATCCCAGTGTCTTAGATACGATGGATTATATATAAAGTTATGAGTTCCATAAACTTTGTGTTTGTTTTCAACTTTATAGCCTTCTTTTTTTCTTTTCATATCTCTTGATCCCCTTTACCTATTTCCCCCATCCTCCCAGCCCCCTTCCCTCTGGCAACCACAAATACAGTTTGTTCCCTGTATTTGAGTCTGTTTCTGGTTTATTTGTTTGTTATGGTTTTTTTTAATAACCTTCTTTTCTGAAATTGAGATATAATTGACATATAACCTCCTGTGAGTTTAAGGTGTATAATGTGTTGATCTGATACACTAGTATAATTAGCATTGTAGTGTTAGCTAACACCTCTATCATTTCACATAATTATCATTTCTTCTTTTGGTGAAAACAATTAAAACCTAGTCTCTTAGCAAGCTTGAAGCATATATAATTTTCTTAATCTCTCATCTCCAAATCCTAGCTCTGGAGTTTCCTCTTGATGTCCTTAAATCAAGGGTTCTATGAAAAAATAAATTACATTTGCATTGTTCCTCTAAAAATGAACTATATCACATTATTTAATAACTTTTAATATTATAGATATTTGAAAATAAGATGTTTTTAGGTTTCCTGAAATTTTATACCAACAACTGATATATCAAAGCATTTTATAGTCAAATTTCTGAATCTTCTTCTACCTTAGTTTATCTGAAGATAAGATGTTTACTTGCTCGTATCCTTTTAGACCTAAAAACGTGGAAATAAAGGCATAGGGCAGAAAAGCAATATACTAAATATTCTAAGTGGTAAGAGTATTTCAAATGATTATTAATGTCCTACACTCTCCTATATCGTTTAATCCCTTTTAAAACTTCGATAGTGGCCCATTTGCTTTGTTGTACTTTTTCCAGGGAAAGCACAGAAATGTTAATTCGTCTATATATTTAATTGGCAAAAACTTAATGGTCAATGATGTGTCAAGCCCTGTGTAAGACCCTGAATTATAATGACAGAAGAATCTGTCACCAAGTTTATAGTCTGGAAGAAACAGACCAGTAAACACTCAGAAGTGCTAAGGGAAAGAAATGCATGAGGTGTTATGCATGCATAGAAACTGTGTAGCTAAAGAAACAGAAGAGAGGTAGACAGGCTTCTGAGAATATGCAAAGATTTGGCTGTGTCTAAAAATTAAGTAACAGTTCGTCACTAATGACAAGGAGGAAGGGGGTTCCACACAGAAGGAAACACAAATCTGTGAAGCAACAGGGTACATTTGGAGAACTATAATTAGCTCTTTGTGGCTGTGGTGTGTGTGACATAGAGAGAGAAGGCAGGCCAGAGAATTAGGTAGGATGCAGGTGGGGAAGGGCCTTGTGCTAAGGAGTTTGGATTTTACCATGAAGGCAAGTGGAAACCACCAAAGGGTGATAAGCAGATGTGTGACATAAAATGTGGACACCAGAAGGATTATGTTTTGACAATGATGGAAGATGGCTTGGATGAGACTAGAGGCAGAGACAATTTAGGGCCAGTTACAGAAATCCAAGTGAGAAGAGAAAAATACCAACCTATGTTACTGAATGAAAGAGGATGGAATTAGCTATTTAGTATAATAGAGGCTACTATGATCAAATACATGCTTGGCACTTCTTATTCATTAGGTATTCAATATTTATTTGTTAATATTTTAATCTATTTTTCTCCAGAGTATTTTTAAAAAATCTATTCTTAAAGTTTATCTGAGGACAAGCAACATTTAGGCAAAAATATCCTTTTAGATTGAAGCAGGCATCAAACAAAAACAAAAAAACAAATCACCTTTCTATAAACAAAATAAAAACACTGGTGCATCTGGGTGTCTCAGTCAGCTAAGTGTCCAACTTTGGCTCAGGTCATGATCTCACTGTTTATGAGTTTAAGCCCCACGTCAGGCTCTCTGCTGTCAGCACAGAGCCCCCTTTGGATCCTCTTTGCCCCCCATCTGCCCCTCCCCCACTCATGCTCACAGTCTCACTCTCAAAAATAAAACATTTAAATAAATGAAAAGAGTAATAGAAATATTTTGAACATATATGTTGCTTTTACCACCATTAGGACGAAGAAAACAGTTCTATTTAAAAATAATTCATTTATATGGGGAAGCTCTTCAAAAGTTCAGAAATAAAAATATCAAAAAAGCAGATGATTCACCAAAACCCATTAAATACCTAGGAATAAATCTTACCAAAGAGGTGAAAAATCTATACACTTAAATCTATAGAAAGTTTTTGAAAGAAATTGAAGAAGGCACAAAAAAAATATGGAAAAATATTCCATGCTCCTAGATTGGAAGAACAAATATTGTTAAAAGGTCAATACTA